GGCTCAGACACGCATCATCCGTGGAGGCGAGCACCGAATGATCCGTTCCCACTTGATCCTGTTCGACGCGGTCCCTGGTCCATGCTGCCGTTTGCTCATTTACATTGTGGAACTGACTTTGTCTTTCAACAGGACAATGCCAGTATTCATAGTTCACATGCAACGAAAGCATTTTTGGAGATGTCTTGCCTTGGCCGGCATTATCACCGGACTTGAATCCGATAGAAAATGCCTGGGCACACCTTTCGCGCAAGGTATATGATAACGGTCGACGCCAATTTAACAATCGGAGCGATCTAAAGCGTCAAATTTTAGTATCGTGGTCTGAAATGGAGCACAGCTACTTTGAAACGCTCATTGCGTCCATGACTTCTCGGTGTCTTGCAGTTCATGCATTTCATGGTGGTAAAACAAAGTATTGAATGTATTTTATATCTTGAGTTTTGTATTGTCCATGTATATTTGTCGCACCATACAAACACAAATTTGAGGATAACTTCCCGACAACGACGAATTCTAAAGTTCTAGAATGTACCATGTATTTGTCGTGACAAGGAGTACATTATATCCAAAAATCAGCCGTTTCTGACCAATTTTGGCTAAAACGTCCTAAAAATAGCTCATTTTGGTGCCTGTCCTTACCTTTTTGTCGCGCACTGTATATGTGCACGTAAGTATATGTTACGTAAGTACTAGTATAATTTAATCAAGTGCAGTGCTAGTAACATTTAAATCAGAATACTCTGCCATACAAAATCGATAGAGGGATTTGGCCATACTACAAAGTAGTGCGCACTAAGCATCACAGATAATTGGACGATTCACAGGGAGACTGCACCCAAAGCGTAAGCGGTATCCAATTGTCTGTCAACACTTTAATCAAGTCTAAGTAACCGTCAAAATAATCAATACATACTTTAATCAAGTTCAACGTAACCGTCAAAATGCGTCGTATTAAGCTATCTCAATGTATTCAATGCATTATTTAGACTAAAGTATAGTAATTACAGTAATTCTGGAATGTAATCAAGAATGGTCTAATTTGACTGATATTCTGTAAAGTACAACTGTACTCTTTCTGAGTTCACTACAGTACATAGTATTGTACGTACAGTAGAATGTACTAGTGTACGTAGTCCACGCGGATGTACAGAATGGGGTAACTTGCATTTAACCTTGCATTCAAAGGAAGGATTGGTACATCCGATGAGAGCATGATGCATGTACTTTGTCTAGTACTAAATTTGATACCGCATAGAGTAAGTTTACAGTTAATGATTGCTATACGTATACTAGGTTGTACTACAGTACAGTACTTCGTATTACAGAACTGTACCTGGTACTGTAAAGGACGATATTTGACACTGTATATACTACAGTACAGTACAAGGTACTGATACAGTAATAGTACTACTATTAATGTTAATAGTACCGTACAACTACTACGTAGTAGTACTACTTAGTAGGTATTAATAGTACAGCAAAGAAGTACTATGACGAGTGATTTTCACTGTGTTTCCTCATAATTTTATCAAGCTACATAGTATATCTGATTTATAGGATAATTATCCATATCCAAGGGTTTATACAAATGCAGTGGCCCATTCGGCGATATCGTAAAGAATCATTGATTTGCCGAACGTCTTGCCGTCTTGCCCGATAGGATGACAGAATCGATATGATTGGAAAAAACTATTACCGCAGCAATCAAACCCTTGGCTAGTTGTATTATTCGGGGAATTTTTGTTATGAGTTTCAACCTTATTCAGATGTACTGTACGTTAAGCGCATGATACTCATTTACTTTTATAAATAGATCTTTGTATCGTTGCTCGAAGCATTTTCAATACTTTAATAAACCTATATTTCGGCATATCAATGATCACTGTTTGGAGTGGCCATCTTTACAATTTTATTACTTCAATTCCAAACGTTTTAATTCCCTTCTATCTAAATCTTACTAAAGAGCTTGGACTAAAGAAAACTTCGTAACATTCAACATATGTCATAATAATCTTAAAGATATTTCCAGTTGATTATACTATGCATAGTATACGAACAGTTCTGTACATTGTGTATGTTATTCCAGTGAAGTAATATTAAAAATACGTCATAATAATCCTTTAAAATATGCGCATTTGAATGCTACCAAGTATACGTACAGTGCATTGAATATGCTATTCAAGTGAAGTAACGTCCGAAATACGCAATAATAATCCTTCAAGATATGTGCAGCTGAGTATGCAGTAAGGGGAAGCTCCAAGTAGTTTTCAGAAATAGCATGAGCTAATCAAAATCGATATACATCTTTTTTTCATGATTTAGGAAAAGACATTCAAGGACCTCATTTTCTACCTTTGGTATAGTGAGTTGCGTGAAATATCGCAGAAAAAGAGGTCAAAAAGTAGGAAACTGTACTTGGAACCACTTTTTCATTTGATAAAAATACCTACTTGGAACAGCCCTAACGTTGCATAGTATACGTTCAGTACTGTTTATTGTACTACCTTCATTTCCAATCGGAGGTAGTATACTTTAATCAATTGAAATAATATTCAAAACAGGACTACTCTTCCATACAAAGTCAATAGAGGGATTTGACGATACTACAAAAGTAGTGCGTACTACGAATCACGGAGTAATTAGACGATTCACAGGAAGACTGCGCCCAAAGCGTAAGCGGTATACAATATGTGTGCGGAGTCTTATCTAAGGAATTCCCCCACTATAAAGGTATACGTAGTAGTTTGGTGTTTTAAAGGTAGGGAGGGTATACCTGCTGTGGGGGAATTATTCTTTACTACTACTGTACTACTCTGTTCCATAATAATTGCAGCAGTTGACTTCTGATTGGACTAAATATTACATTTCTCCTCGTAATCGCAATTGGATTGGCTCATTCGATAGATACACATTCCAGCTTTGATTTAATACCTCATGTTCCGGAAAAGTCGAAGTAGTTAGTGTGGGTCATGACCCCTAAACTTTGTGACCTTATTTTTCAAACCAGAAAATCTTACGGTGCACATTCGATAGTGATTGTATTTTTGTAAGCTTAAGACAGTATGCTCCTGTGATGTCCTTACCTCTCCCCATCCACTCGCAGCTCGTTTAGGCATCCAGATGTGCTCGTGAAGTCGCTCCAAGTTTGTGATTCGAGTGGATCGCTGTATTTTCAGCATTTGCGCGTATTAAGTGCGAATCATTAGCTTCTCAAGTTACCAGATATCAATTTGACCTCTAGTAGGGTCGCCACAGTGTTGGCACAGCTTGAATATGTTAACTCGTCCTGCAAAGGTGTCGACAAGGCATCCAGGTTGCTAATTTTTCATCCTTAATATTTAGGATATATTTTATTATACTATTTCTATTATGGATATACAAACTACAAGTATGTATTAAAATTACCGTTGCTTACAAAAACTAAGATAAAAAGTAAAAAAATATGATATGCTGCAAAAGATATGGAACAGAGTAGTACGTACTACTACTGTAGTAGTACATACTGTTAGTAGTAGGCAAGACAGGAAAAACGTTAAGGATAGCTGAATACCATGCAAATTAACGTTAACAGTAAGCTGAAAAACGTTAAGGATTTCTACCGCTGTTAAATGGGCGAGTACCACCGTTAGTACCACTATTAAACAGGCGGAATGATTACGTTACCTTGTTCACGGTGAAGGGTTTCAAACCTTTCCACATGTAATGCATTCATTACTTTGAGAAGGTTATTTGAAGACACGGCATCCTTTCGCAAGCATTATTTTATGAAGGTTATTCGAAGTCATAACATTTTGTCGCATACATTACATTAAAAAGGTTATCCGAATGTAGACATTACGTAGGGTGCAACAGGTAAATCCGATGGACCTCAATTGGACACATCAATTGAGCGGGTACTACGATTTTCTAATTAATAAGGCGACGTTCAAGATCTCTAATTTCTATTAATAGTAAGTGGGATATGTAAATACTGATTGGACCTATTGGAAACGCAGAAAACTTGATAATTTTTACAATCCAATATTATCAAAAGTTAGAGTACGTTTGAATTTTTGAAATGTGTGGAGGTTTATGATATCTGCTTGTCTGACACATTGCAAGATGAAGAAACCTAAGTCAAGGATGACTTTGGATGACAAGCATGCATTATACACGAAGCATATGGGCGATCCTGCAACTACGTAATTCGATTTGGCAACCTGGGCAGCTAATGCCTTTGGCCTCGTGTCGACGCCGGCCAAATCCGCAATTTGCAAAGCCATCAAACGACACACCACGAAAAGCGAGCGCGCTGACAGCCATGCTCAAACACAAGAGCGTCAAGTTTCCCAGCCAGACGTTGAGCAAAAAGTCGTTGCTTGGGTCCTCCACTGCGAAGAGCTGGGTGTATGCATCACGGGCGAGCTGATTCGCAAGCAAGCCATGGCCTTCAGCAGCGAGTCCGGTGTGTCGACCAATCTAAAGTTCTCAAAAGGTTGGCTCCATAAGTTGCAAAGAAAACACGGTTTTACCAGCAAGGTCCAGCACGGCGAGGCGG